GAAAATATTTTAGGAAAGATATCATGGTTGGCCTTGAAACAAAGCAAACACTAAACTTCCGTGTGACAGCAAAGCGACGTATACGCTAATTTTAACTTTTTAACAGTGCTACAAACAACTTGAATTAGGACCATTATTCATCATAGGGAAGTTTGCTCTCCGAACGTCACATTGCTTCAAAATAACGATATGAAATCTCATTTTTGCATCAAAGTGAGTTTCAGAGTTGGTTGGAAATGCTATCTAACATGAAGCTTTAGTGTGATAATTTGATAGCTAGAGAATGATCTTAGAAGAGGGTGGGTAGATAGTTCCGTTAGAGTACGGCAGTATGAAAATTTAATAGAAGTTGAAAATGAGCGAAGGGCCGACAGTGACGTTCGTAGAATCAAATTTCAATACTATAAATTCGATTTATCCTGACATCTTCTTGCGTGAGGATGTCAATATCATTCGATAAATCGAATTTATATTTTTGAATTTTTCTATAAATCATTATAATTGAAATCAAACTACGGTGCGATTTTACCCATTAATAATACCTGAACTAGCGTTGTCAGATTGTTTTCCAGCTTATCGGTATCAACAGTTTTAAGAGATCGGTATTTATTGGTATTTATTATCATAATTAATTTTATATTTTTTTTCCGTGGCGAAAATTCAAACTTTTGGACTAAGAACGGAAAATTTGCTTTCCAGGAGAAGTCGGAAGAAATTTCCGGGCAATGTTTGAACTAGTTTCTGATGGAAGTCGATAAAACTTCCAGAGAAAGGATAAAATAGCTGGTGTTGAGTACTTGGCACTGATGAAGTCTGCAAGTAGTAGACGAAATACGCGTATCTGTCAAAAGATAAGCAATTATAACGGAATTTAAAGGAAATAAACGAACCCATTCAAAGCTCTTAATAAAATAGCACTTCTGGTGGAAGTTTGAAGAAATTTCTTAGAGAAGTCGAAAAAACTTCAGTGGAGCTTCCAAGACAAACATTCAAAAATTTCTGGTGACAATTTAAGGAAGCTTTCGGGAAAAAAAATCGGATTACGCATCCAGAGGCTGCCCGACAAGATTCGTAAATCTGAAACAAATTCCAGGAGTAGTCATTTTCAGGGAAAGCCAGAAGAAGCTCAGAAAAACCTTCCAATAGAAGTCGAAAAAAAACTACGGAGAATGGCTTATGGATAAAGTTCCAGAGAAAGACGAACGGTAGTTCTGAACAGAATTTCAAAGAATCCTGAATAGGTTAAATGAAAACAAAAGTTTAATTGATACTCAGGAATTGCTGAGGTTGATTTCTTTGGAATTCTAAAGAAATTTCCAAGAGAATTCTAAGGATGATTTCATGTTAATTCTGAAGATATTTCAAATGCAATTCAAAAGAGAATTTCAATGGAATTCTGAGGAGAATTCCAAGAATTTTCTAGGATCATAAAATTTCATATGAATTTTTGGATACTAAGAAAGGTTGCAAATTAATGATTGAGTTCTGACTAGAACCCCAAATTTAAAAGAATTTCTAGGTAAGAGGATGGAGAAAAATTCAAAGGGTATTCTGAAAAGAAGTCATTGGAAATTATGAGGATAATTTCAAAGCAATTCTTAGGAGAGTTTCACGGGAATTCCGAGGAGCAGTGAATTTAATACAGAGGAATGTTTTGATGAAATGTTCAAGAAAATACCTAGGAAATGCTCCAGGTGAGTTTGTAAGGGAATTCCTAGGTGTATTTCAAGGTTATTCCGGTGATAATTTTTGGATCATTCGAAGGAGAGCTCGAAGGGAATTTTGAACAACGTTTCATGGAATGTATGGAACATCTCCAAGATAATTGTGGGCAAAAATTAACTAGTCTTCCTTTTCTGCTTCTTCTACTTCTTCGTCTAGGCATTTTACGCTTTTTGTCGGCTCTCAACTTAGTGTTCTAGAAGCACTTCCACAGTTATTAATTGAGAGCTTTATATGCCAACCAATGCATGAATTGGTATATTGTGTGGCAATACTACTAGGTTCAGGAAAGTCGATAAAATGTCCGAAAATCGTACTCGCCGCCTTCATACCTTACCTTTACTGACTAGGCTAGCTGAGTCCCTTGAAATAATAGTGTAGAAATCAAATAGTGATCTGCAGATTTATCATTGGATTTCATTTCTAGTGAATTATGCATCAAATTATATGGGAATTCCAGAGACAGATAGAGAGAGTGAGAGAGATGAAGAGAGAGAGAGAGAGAAAGAAAGAGTTCTAATATTAACTCTGAGTGAATTCTGAAAGTAAGATTTTTTTTTAATCCGGTGATGAGTTCCAAGGGTATAAAATGACTCAAACATAGACAAATGTTCAAAATTCACTTAGCAAACGACATTTTCTTAATAATCGAACAATTTTGAACAATTTTGACGATAAGTGTTCTTTAAGTGAACTTTGTTTCAGTTATCGGACTAGAAATTGAATTACATTTCTGTTAAGGAAGGATCTTTATATTAGCGATCATTCAGTGTACTGAAGCCCAAGAGCGCTCTTAATAGGGGTTCAGATCAGGGTTAATTCCCTACTTAAATATTTATTTAGATTATGGAATCATAAGATATTATGATGATATTTTGTATTTGTAAGTAACAACAAGAGGTTATAAAGTTTATGTTTGACAAATAAAATCATATTTTTTCGCTTTATGAGAGTATCAATAAGCGATTTTATCAATTTCTCTCAGCAGTTCTTCATTTTTCATTCTTTGCGAACAGCGCTTAGAAAATCGCTAAAGTAATTCTTTCAAAGCAAAATTGTCATTCTTGTAAGTTTGAAATACAAAATATAATTTTAACATCCTATGATTCCATACATAATACCATAACACATTTTATTTATACAAAATGAATTCTCCTTGACTGTGGAATGGGAGTTTTAAGAAACTTTTCCTATTCTAGCGTCAATCAAGCCGATTGAAAACAAAGAAGGGGAAGACAGTTCAAAACGCACCCCTGGGGTAAAATGGACCGACACGGTTTCCACTGCTTTAGGAATTATGAATTAAGAATGTCACAGCATTAATAGCTTGCTTCGATTATAAGTAACACTGGAAATGTTCGCATCCGCTGCCCAATATGTCCTCAGTTCCCGGCAGATAGTAACTAGAGTTTGTGTATAATAAATCGGATCGAACGAGCAAACATGCAAAAATATAGACGCAGAATCAAAAAAAGATCAATTCTTTAAGTCAAGAGCAACCTGCACTGACGAGAATCTACCGAGTTGCAAGTATGTGATTATTGATTGAAGTCATAATTTAAATTTCTTTGACTTTGTAGATGTAACCATTAAGAATTTAGTTGTCAAGACGTATTAAAATGAGCACTAATAGGGTTTTTCAAAGTAGTTTTTGGTTATGACCATTTGGAAACCCTGCGGAAAGTTATTAGAAGATTACGCATAAATCTAGACGAACGTGTGAAAAGGGCCAATGAGCCAAATGTAACCAAATACTTTGAACGAACTCGCGGATTAAGAATCATTCTGGAAAACCAATAGCAGCATCTGGTAGAGGAAGTTTACTCTATCAGATCGTGTGGTAAATTTGGGTGGGTATGTTGTCATTCGTGCGAAATCAACGATGAAAGTCATTGGCTCATTGGCTCATTGGCCCTTTTCATATGTTCATCTAGAAACACTTGGTTGACAAGCGTAAATGCAAGGCAATTAGCCGAAAATCGTTTTGGTAATTCCTCTATTTTTTCTCTCTACGGGGCTCTTATTATACACAGAGTGTATGTCCTTAAATGAGAGAAGAATGCCAAACCAGCATTATGGAACAATAGAAAATTTCAATATGGTTTGAAGTTACGCTTCTATGCATGTCTTCTACGCACAGAGCCATTAATTCACCTACCCTGCATACTGTTTTCGTATATCAACTACGAGTAACTACTTCCGCCCTTTGATACAAACTTTCTCAACAACACACAAAAAATCTAAACAGCCCATCAAACATACCCTCCACCTTCGAGTCCACCTTGAACCTGCAAATCAAAGCAACCGCGTCGCGTAAAACCGATTTTCACTCCCAATGTCCAGCGCAGCCAACTGTGACGTCGATTCATTGCCGCCACCGCCACAAAACCGCTTTTCCAAACATTTCAACGAAACCTGAGTTAAAATTTCCATTTCAACTCCTCCCTCGGTGCATTGCTGTTGGCTGCACATGCACCACCAACGACAACGAAAACGATGCACCAGCGTCTCTGCCGCCCACCACCACCGACCAGAAAAACTCCGACGCTCGTAGGGCCTTTTCTCCTCTCCTGGCTTGGCTTATATTTCAATCGACGTTTATCATTTTCCACTTTTCACTGCATCTATTATTTTCTCCGTATAGTTTCCGTCACTTTCTTGAGACGCATCAACCGGAGAGTATGTAGTTTCAATTGAAAGTGTGGATGCAATTAATTAGCAGATATCTATTATTTATTTTTCGTCTTAAACACACATAAACACTCATTTTCTTCGTACCAATTTCAGCTCATTTGTAGTGGAAAACGTGGAAAAAGAAGAAGGAAAAATCAGAAGCACTTGCGAAACACAGGGAACGTGAGTGATGTGATGTGATACGAAAAAAGAAAAACAGCACTTAATAGAGCATAAACTACCAGCAAGAGAAACTTTTTTTTTGAGGAAAATTGATCAAGTGTTTTCGTTTTCACGATAAGCGTCTAAGTACTATTTTTTTTCCTATTTCCCGGGATGGTACGCACTTTTGCTTCAGAAACAAATATTCATCGATAACATTTGTTTTGCATTTCAAACAAAAATCACACTCTTTTTCATTTTCATTGGATTGTAATTTTTTTTTCTGGGTGGTATTCAACGTTCAATAAAGTTGGAATTATTTTTCAAAGTCCTAGTAGGCGTAGGTGAAAAATACCACTATTGAATAGAGGGGCTCTAGCTTTCGTTTTGCACTCTTTGACACTCTAAAATCAAACCCTTCCAAAAACACACAAAAATTCAACCAATCCGTACAATTTCAGCTTGCACAAAAATCGTCTTCACTAAACACGCACGCGTCGAGGTTCTGGAAACTGCAGAACACGTTAAACAAAAACAAAAAAAAAACAGAATGGGAAAACGTTTCGTATTTCTTGGCAGGTCCTCGCGAACAAAAGTGTAAGTCCAAGCACTCCGGTGTATGTCCGTCCTGAGCGGTCTACTGATATGCACTGATGTCTGAGAAAAACTGATCGCCAGCTGGAGAAAAATTAAAACTCGAAGCGGCGCACGAGGTTGCTTGACGCGCGCGACACTCCACATCCACATCCACTATTACCTATGCTTGCCGTGATGGTTGCAATTTGAGAGCATACAAGCTTCGCGCGCGCAGACACTACTTCGGCGAGTAGCGAGCATAGCAGGCGATGCGACGGACGCGGCGGTGGCGGCGTGAGCGCAAATTAATAACGTAATAATGACGGAATAAACATAAATAACAAAAAGCGACGGTAAGAAGTAGGCGATGGCAGAGGCGAGGAGTGGTGAGTGAGACTCGAGAGTGAGCAAAAATAGTGAGAAAGAGAGTGAAAAAGGGAGCGAAGTTGAAGCTGGGAGTATGGCGATGGGGACTTTGGGTTCAACCCTTCTCCCGAAGAAAAGCGTTTTAAACTTGCGGAATATGAAATTTGGTGCACGCGAGCGAAGGTGAGGTGCATTTGGGTATTGAATAATTATGAGATCAGCTGTAATCCGAATTTTCTGGAATTAGCAAATGTGTAATCTTTTAAAAATCAAGTTCAATCGTATAAATTCGATTGAATAAAACTACTGATTAAGATTAATTAGACCACACCATACGGCAGCGCTTGAGGTAGCGGGTACAATTCCTTCATCGATGATCTTTTCAGGTTCAAATTTTTTCTCAATTCTGTTTGCTACTCGAATAGCAAACCCTTGTAATAAGTTTGGTTTTATAATCCAGCATTTCCTGAACTTGACTTGAAGTACTTTAGAACCACAATAATAGTTGTAATCTGGTAGTAATTTTATTTAAGAAAGTCAAGTCATGAAGACCATACCAACCAAATTTCTAAATCATTAAGTAAACTCAAGCTTAAAATCATCTCCCCGAAAATGTCAGTTGACACTTGTTATTCAGTGTTTTGTCTGTTACCATCCGCAAGCAAATTCCAACGTATAAACATTGCGTTGTTTCTTCCGAGTAGGCCATTTACCATCACCACCGCGTCTGTAATTACCACGCCTGCTACGACGAATACGCAGCAGCGCACCTTCATTGGCGATTATGTTCATTGAATCGCTTCGCTGCATTGCAAAATGTTCCCGAGTTGGCGTTCAAGTTGCTCGTCACGCGATAATCGCCTAAAAATGTGCGGAATGTTGGTTTTTTTTTCATGACCCCGTCAAACCATCACCGTCCACCAGTCTCAACCGAGTGGGACGTTGATGATGACAGTCGGCGATGTTGGAGGCTTTATCTCAGTTTCGTTTGCATATTAAAGGCAATCAATTTGGAGGAAGGAATGATTTCAATGGGTTCGTTGTCTTTTACTAACAATGAAATATACTCCAGCAGCTGGAGAGCACTTTCAATAATCCCTTCAATGCTCGCTGCTGATAGCCAACCCAGTCGGCACTGTAGAGTGAATGTCACTTTCTATCGGCTTTACGATACAAACGGCTTCAGGGCGAGTTGGTAGTAAATGGTCATCAATAAAGTTGAGGGAATTGAAGAAAAAAAAAACTATTCAACAATTAAACTGATCGAACCGGATGAATCATCTCATATCACACTCGCATCGGTTGTAAGATGCTCACTACGATCGGCGTCGCCATGGCAGATGTCAGTGGCCGCCAAAGCCGTTGCTGCGCAGCATTTCTATATGCATACTTGGATCGGTGACGACCGCATCGAACAGTTTGATGGGTATTTTAGTATTATGAAAATGCGTTTCTTCAAATGAGCTGTGTGTGCAAACGCTCGTCTATGTCGCTGGATTAGAGGGAAAAATGTAAAAACTTTCTCCAGGTTTTTATTTGCCAGCTCGATTGGATTGTTGTGCGAAAGTTACGTACGTTTTCCTAATAACAGACGCAGGGAGAAAAATACACGTAACATGATGAGAGCTTGAGCGCCGCAGTTTGATGTGATTGCTAATTGAAGAGGCAGAATGTTTTTCATAGCTATTGCGAATAGTTGGTACGGTAAGCGGAGGTAGCTAGGACCACTTGCTAGTATTTTTTTTCTTAGATACAGCACAGTACTTGCTCGATGGAATAAAATCAAGAGTGAATTTTCAAATAGCCGTATCTCTTAGCTCGTCCACGCAAACCAGCAAGGGAAAATACCTTGTTCACAAAAGCAAATATGGCAATTTGGAAGCACAGTCTTGAAATTCAATCTACCTACCACTTATGGTAGTAGCTTCAACCGGTATTATCTTCGGATTAAATTCCGATTAAGAATGTCCGGCTGCTGTGATGTCGACATCAGAGTTAATCAACACGGCTCTAAGCAAACATTTAGCAAATTATCCAAACAGGGACGGCATTAAAAGTTAATCCGAGTTGGAGCTTACCTCCATTATGGTGGTAAGCTCCAACCGGTGTTACCCTTGGATTAAATCCCGATCACGAATGTCGGGCTGTTTTGTTGTCGACGTCGATGTTAATCAATACGATCCTTAACAAAAAATTGGCAGATCCTTCAATCAGGCCCGGTATTAAAAGGAAATCCGAGTTGGAGCTTACCGCAATTAAAGACTATCCCAGTATTAAAGAAATTTGATTATATGGTGTAGATAAGTGCTGGGACTCGGATTATCCGGATATTTTGATTTTTCAATTTTATTAAATTTTTGCAATTAACAAATTTGCCATATGGGCACCTAAAAACCAACTTTTTGACGAATATTTGGAACAGTAAAAAAGAAAACTGTTAAAGGGAGAACAAATTTGAAATTTCACTATCCCGATATCCGGATAGTTACTATCCGCCTGATAACCATCTCAATGTTTTCTCAATAAAATTCAATATTGGGCACTAGAAAGCATGATATTCTGTATACTGAATACCAATTCATTGATATTCCATTTGTCTGAAAGTCATATCACTGAGAAAAAAAACTGAAGTATCCGAATAGTTGAAGTCCCAGCTCTAGTGTAGATCCATTGGGTCATTAGGCCGAATGGGTCATAAGGCATAAGTTTGAAAATTGAAAGGCAGGACTTAGACTATTCTTTGGAATAATTTTCAACACTCTTGAGCTTCGAATATGTTCCAAGATCTACATATATGAATTCAGCTGGAATTATTCAAGAAATGACTTTTAAAATCTATCCCTTGAATAAAAATCCAAAGATTTAGGGTCATTACAAAATCATTTAAATAGCACATTTAGAAATTAAATCTTTAAGAATATTTTTTATAGTTTTATGATACTGAATAATTTTAAGAATCTCATTCGAAGTTAATCAAACTCTTTACTTATATGAAGATTGTCAATATGGAATCTAAGATTGTGAACTTTTGATCAATTTGAAGATCATAGGCGTTGAAATTTGAGAGATCTCGCAAACAGGAACATTTTTAGATGAGAAATTTTTAGCCTTTGATTTTTCATAGTAGATTTCTCGTTCTTTCAAGTTTCAACCAGTAGTTCTTCCGAGTTTCAAAATTTTTATCTAATCATATTTCTAGAATTAGATGTTCCTTCTTTGAAACATGTGCAGTGCTTTTGGGCCTTTTTAACATCTTGGATGAACATAATGTCACTTTCTCTATTTGCTGGACCCTACCCCTATCGACCCATCAACTCATGGACCGGGCACCAACGACCTTATTTCCAAGCTTTAACTTCAGAGATTTCATGCCTCAGAAAATCCCGGTGGAGCCGACTGAGATTGAACCTAGGTCGTTTGTGGTGAGAGGCAATCACGCTTACCACTACACCACCAGCGCCGTTATTCTATTCGCAGCTGATTATTATTTTTTTAAGTTAAGAAGTGTTACGGCCTTATATCCGATGAACCCATCTTTAAAAATAAGATCACAAATATCAGGTTCAACAATAACAATATGAAAATAAATCCCAACTTATGCTGTAACATGGAGTTGCATTTTAAAAGCGTGAAGTTGATGTAGTTTTCGTCACTTATACTCTAGAACATTTAAAAGTGAAGCTTGGGGAAAATACTTCTTTCGAAAAAAAAATGTCAAATGGTGGTAACGAGAATTTTTCCAAAAAAAATGTGACAATGAAAACGTATGAGGGGAAAATGTCGGCCTTTTCCGAGTCGTGATCAAATTATTGTAAAAAATGGATGTGTTTGCTTCGTCACATTATATGCAGCGTTGGAGACGGTTGGTTTAGGTCCGGCATCGTTGGCTCATGCCGTAACAGAATAGCGTCATGAGCATGCGATGAGGATTACTGAGCTTCCCCTCTATGATGAACCATTGCATAAGAGAACCAAAGTTCTAGCCTGAAGTGATAGTATCACACTTGTTACTCCTTTATTTGATAGCCGCGTTGTAGTACGCTTACGTATAGGCAGTGACGTTGGGTGCGATACTGGCGGGTTTTGCCGCAAATCACTCTTATTTTATTTATTTTTACGCAGATAGATTCATTTGGGTTTGCAAGGGAATTATACTATTGAAATATTTCAGAAAGTGCCCAACAGTGCTCCTTCTATTTGCGTGACAAGCTTTCATTGTTGTTCTCATTGAATTATTACTCAGGAAACAATGTTAAACATCATTTTTGTACATGGTATTGTAACTAATCTTATATGTGCTTCATTTTGATTTGGGATAAGTGTTTGAACTATGGCTCGGGATTTCCACTGTGGTGTGCTTCTTTTGTGACATACCCATATGTATATTTGTGGTGCCACATAGTGGAAGTGTGAGAGCGTAGTTGGAACATTTACCCTATACAATATACAATTTAAAATTAGCTTGGAAACTAACTTCAAAGTGAAGCATTTGAGTCACTTGAAGGTGTCATCTGGGACGAACAAAGATATAATTAATATATGTAAAAGCCAGAAGTACTTGAAACACGTTAAATTGTAGTTTAAAAGCATGGGTTATGATTGTGTAGGTAGATTAGAGATTTCAGTTATTTATTAAATAAACTTCAATTATAGAATTCAGAAAGTTAATTAACATAAGAGATAGGACGCGGGGGGTCCACTTAGGGAGGCGACTAGCCTATGAAGTTGTATAATAAATCTTCCTATTTAG